AAAAAACTGGGCCACTTGGCACGAAATGGCTCATTTTGATTTCACTACCACAAGTATTCAATTGGTTTAGTCCAAGTATCGACTATGATGCCGCATAATGTACGGTAACTATTAATGGCTTGCAGCTTCAAAGCGTTTTTGGCTAAAGCATCTTTATAAGAAAGCATGAGTTATGATTTGTCACCTATGTGCAGTCTTAATCATAGACCCATAGTGGAACTTACATGTCAGCAAAATCTTAGCACCATTTCTGTCCTGCTGCTACATCATATACATACCTTTTAGTCCCCTGTTTTTCCATTGCAGATACATCTTTTACGGTACAATAAGCAATCACAAATACTGTGATGCTTAGCTAAGCAGGACATTCTACAAATAAGCGCCAAGTTTTGTACACCACATTTATTACGGTTACTATTTTTTGACTTCACTGGGTGAAAAAATGGAGCCTCAAAACTGAAAAGCTTTAAAATTTAAATATATGTTTGCAGCGAACGAGGCATTATGCCATCAGCGCTCCTTCGGCTCATCGAAGCAGATTTGGAGTTAATGGTTGGTAAATGGTTCGTCTGCTGGTTTCTCGAAACGTTGCCTATGGAGGTTTGTTATTCAGTTTACTACTATACTTTTTGAGCTTTATTAGTATTTGATGTACGCGTCTGACATCGTTCTGTCTACTATGTTTGTTTATTTGGCTCTTTTTCTTTCGTTTTGTAAAACTTGTTGTAGTTGTTTTTTCTTGTAAACAGAGTTACTTATGCTTACTGAAGTCTTTACTACAAGGGGGCAAACTTGATGCTGCAAAACATCAAATTTTCAAAATTATGCTACTCTGAAATTCATCATAGCACCACAAACAGATTTTGAAGGGTTAGTGTGAACCAGAGGCGAATTTTTTTGTTGAGAATTAGGGACGCTTTTATCAATGTCTATTATTGTAAACCTTAGAAGCAACAGATACTCGAAGTGACTATCAACGATTTCATAAATCTTGTTGATGCAAACCCTAAGTCCTAGTAAACTAATAGTTCTAATTAAAATGCAAAAAATCATATTTAAAAAACTTGTTCTGCAACACTGCATTCCACCTGATACAGTATTAGCTCAAAGGGGAAACAACTACATTTAAACCTCATGAAACACTAAGAAATTTTTTAGAGTGTGTTACGAGTTTGGGATTGTCTCTTTCACGAAGGAGATACTGTGTTGTTCAGAGTCGCGATAGTTTTGCTGGAAAACTGTGTACCTTTGTTGGTGAAATGTAGAAATACATCAGATGCCGTAGCGCTAATTCGCGATATAGGCACTCTTCCTATCGCAGTCAACTGTCATGAACTGTTACAGGTAACCGGCCAGTCTGCTGTTGCCTTTGCATAACTTTCTCCTTCTCCAATAATAGTCATTAGAACGCTCTAAAAAGAAGCTATATGTATATGCAAATCTAGGTAAGGACCACAGAATGTTTTTTTTTTTTTTGAGTCATGTGTTGCTTCTTATGAGCTGGTCTATTTTCGCATAAGGTTTGCCGTCATTCCCGATGGTTTTTTGTCTGTGCAAGATGCTTATTCCCAAAAATAGCTTATACCTGTTCAGATGCTCTTAAAAAGCTATGTAGTTGTATTAGCCTAGTTTAGGAGAGCCTAGTACCGTCTTGAACATATCGCCTCCAAGAATTCCAGTGCCTCGTGCAGTTATGAGTAATACAGCAATTTTTGCAGCTGAATTACCGAACAATTTCAACGATTGATTGAACATCTAAACAGATGTTCAAAATTAGTGACAAAAAACACTGTATATTTTGTAAAAGCATTACACAAAATATAAACCAGCCAGAGGACAAACAGTTTAGGCTTACAAATTTCCATAAGTGCAGGAAACATGAACTTCGGCTAACAAACGGCGCATAAGCCAAAAAGATAATCAGTGATTTTTAGCCACACCGATACATCAAGTAGCTTATTATTAAACCGTTCCAATAATCCCAAGGTCCTTCCAGAATGTAATGAGCCATTATACGTCGCAGAGGACAATCCTTCAGTGACTTCTTAGCTTTATTCAAACTTTGTGAATTTGTACGGCTTAGTACCTGACTGCGAAATCAAAATAGATCATCTCAAGATAGCTGTTCGCGGCAAAGTTAGACGGCACTGAACTTGTATCCTTTAAATTTTACTTTTTTTTTATATTTCAAACTTGTATTTTTGTTCAGTCACGAAATATTTTTGTAATTTTTTCTTCATTTGAAAGTTTGTCTCCTGCAGAGCCAATATAAAACATCCGTATTCGCGAATAGCATGGAAGGTTAGGATAATTAGGGTAAATGGAGGAACTGAAAACGTTTTTTCGAATGAGTGATTTAAATTTTTTAAAAGAGATGTATTTTTTAAATGCATAATTCTTGAGCAACGTATGAAATTACCAAAGTGGAATTTTTTGTGATATCACGTGTTACGGTTCAATTAGTGCGACTCTGCTGCAAAAAACCTTTAACTTCCGCAGCATTTTCCTGAAACTCAGATTTTGATTAAAGCATCACGATATTCAAAATCAATTTAGTTCGGCTTTAATTTAAAATCAGTTTATATAACAGATATCTGACTAGAATTTTTTTCGGTTCTGAGTGACTATGTTGGAATTTTTATGTAAAAAATTCACTACTGTTACTCCATTCTCTTTCGCTCTGCTTTCTGACTGATCTTTTTTGACTCAAATATTTGAAGCCGTGCTGGCTATTGATAGTGCATATCGTTTTGCCATTATCTTCCCAGTCATGCATTAATTCACGATTTTGCTGAAAACTATGAAATAGTGGTTCAGGAGGCCACTCAGAGTTACCACCGGACAAAAATGCAAGCCACGACCCACTTGTTTGCACTAAATTTTGTCTGAATGAGAAATTTCCAAATCTCACCACTTTTACTCTTTTGTCATAACACCACAACTCTGCCACACTCATGACACAGAAGTTGTAAACTCATCACCACATCCCTTTTCAAGCTTCCTGAAACTGAAATGCAAAGCAATAGAGATCAGAGGAGTAACAATAATGATAATTATTTTTGAAGAATTTGAAGCCATTCAGCAACAAAAGTTTTAATCAGATACCTGTTTAAAAAAACTAGTTGAATTGAACCAAGTCTAAAAATAAACGACGTCTCAGTTAAAACTGGAACTTTGTAATTTACAAAAGCGCCAAAATACTGCATAGAGTGAAGGTTTTTTGCAGCACGGTCCTGCTAGTCACACTATAACTCATAATACCATAAGAATACCACCTTCTTTAATAAGTCACACAAGAATTGCTCTTTCAAAAATATGTCTCAGGCATTTCATTCATTCTTTCTCCTGAAAAACATGCTCAACTCCTGCATTTACCCTAACCCTCCATGCGGTTAGTAAATGTACGTTTTCTTCTGACTCTACAGAATACAGGTTTTTACATGAAGGTATAAGTTGCAAGAGGAAAGGCATGAACGCTCCTAAAAACGACCGTTCTCGCCAAAAATTATTTCTTTCTCAACCTTGAACCATCTAACTTTGCTGCCGGTACGCTTCCTGAAGCAATCGTCTCTCACCTCATAGTAGAGCACTAGTTCAAAAAAAGTCGAAGAGGTCAGCCTAGTGCGCGACCTGACGCAAAGCACGATTTATCAAATCTTTGTTGTCAAAAACTAGAGTTCCAACAAACACGCATTCGTTGTCAGCAGAACTTTTTGAGCCAAAATGTACTACAGAAATGTGAAGTAGCCCTGTTTGAAAATTGTTCAAGTTACAGGCAGCATTCTCGCAGGATAAAGAAAAGTTGACACCAAAAGTAATCCATGACCGGCGGCTGTCTGTTGCTCAGTAACAAGAGGCTGAGAAAAAATCGCGTTACAAAAAACAACTTCTTGCGTAAAACATATCGTCAGATCCTTCAGGAGCGAAGCTTGTGTCCTTACAAAGCCGTGTGGTCCAGCTTCTCTCCCATCTGGAAGTTGGTCCAAAGCACGATCAAACCTTCTAATTGGCTTCAAGTACAGCACGGGGAACACAAAAGGACAAATCTTCAAACTGCTACAGTCTCACTTTCTCCGTTACCCAACGAAATAAAAACGTTATGTCGAGTCCTCAATAAAATCCCTTGTTTAAATACAAAATAATAGAAACTAGTTAGATCTGAAACAAATCGTGACTTGTCTTAATATACTCCGTCACGCAGCACTAAACTACAACAGTGCAACAACAGCTTTTATTCCTTTAAAACACAGACCTCTATAGCAATCAGGTAATTACCTGACACAAACTTTATTTGAAAAAGGCTTGAAGACCAATAATACTAAATTTGAGTCCCGTCGTTTTAACAAAGTGAATAAATTTATCTGACAATTAAAAACAAGAAAGTTTTACCGACCACGGCTGCTTTAATCTACCTTACTTTTCAGGGAGTTTAAAGTATCCTTCATCAAAACGAGATTTAATTTTAGGAAGAAATACAAAAAATGAACGAATCCATATAAAGCGGTTAAAAGCGGGAAAATATGTGGAAACCTTTTTGGTGGACGTATGCAAAGGTTTGCAAAGCAAATTAAGAAACCCATTAAACAACTACCATTTATAATGATCGTCTGAAAAAAGAAAATTAAGCCAACGGCAAAATTTATGACGAAATGTCAGAGACCAGAAAAAACTGCTTTGTTATCAAAAAATTTGTGGATCATGTAGATCTACCGCGAAAATTCAGATAAAGAAGTGACATTTCAAAATAATAAAGTATGTTTGTGTTTTAAGTTACCTTAAGCCGGCCAACTCCACATAAGGAGGGCAGAAGTAGTATATAATAACATATAAATAATGCCAGATGCAATGAGTTTCCATCTTGAATACAAAGTGGATACATACTGGAAAGAAAACTACTTGATTATACCTATTAATAAGCATTTTACATATAATATGAAAAAATAACAGACGTTAGATTCGAAACGACCAGCAACCAGGACATCAGTGGAGTTTGATCTGGCCAGAGAAGAAGTGCAGGACTGAAATATGCCAGTCGCTCAATTTCTTCCTATCATTCTGATAATGAGATTCGTAATTGTTTAAAATACAAAATAAACGCTTACATAGCCACAAAAAGGATGGACTTTTCATGAACTTGGAATGAAAATAAAAAAAACGATAGGCTAGACAGCAGTAATCCTCTTTTTAAGTTTTGAAAAGTAGGACGGCAAGCAATAGCGGATATCGATGGAATATGAGAAAAAAGTACTACAAAAGAGCTGCAAGTGACAGATGAGTTAAATGTACTCTAAAAATGTAATTTTTGTTACTGCAAAATAATAACAATATTTGACAACCAAACAGCTGCAAAAAAACCCACCTTACGCGCACGAGAGTGCTAATTTCATATTTTTGTTTTAACTTGATTAAAACATTCACTGCGCACCATAAATTGGCAACTTTGTCCTAAAATAAACACAATGTTAAAAAGAAACAGCAGCGCCTAAAAGCAAATTTAAAAAAACCTCAAAAATTCCTCTGTAAAACGGAAATATTCGGCCCAATATTGTGTAAGGAAAACTGTGAGTACTGTATAAAGGTAACCAAAGCAGAACTGTTGATAAGAAAACGACCAATCCGAGGTGCGAAATTCGGCGAAATCTTTAAAAAACTTAGAAGTTTATAATATAGCTGTGAGATAAGGAGACGATACAAACTTCCTAAAAACCATATTGAACTTCACAACCAACCGTTAAAATAAAAATCAAAGTACCCTTCTATTAAATCTGTACGCCTTCTAAACGAGAAAAAACAACTGAAAAACAGATAGACTGCAATAGGCAGAGCATGATATAACTCCATCTGTTTGAAGTGCACAGCGAGCACAAAAGAGAGGGAGCCTAGAGCCAGTCGGTCCATAGAAAATAAAAGGATTGCAAGAAGAAATAGCCCAAGTGCTATGTGATTATACCTGAGTAAAAGAGCGTTGGTGCAACTCATGCCAGCAAATGAAATTAAGAAATTTGTCACGTCCAGAGCGACGCTATTCAAAAAGCTAAAAAAAAATAGGGGTACGGCATACTTACTGAAAATGTCCATTGTCAATAGAGATTAATCCAGGATATAACAAAACCACAGCAGCAAAATGATTCTGTAAGTGATGTACAGGTTGTTTAGGAAACAAACTATCTAAACTTTAATTAATTAAAGCAGTATATGATAAAAAACAGTTATCTCACCTTCATTTTACATGAGGATTTGTAAAAGATGATAAATAAGAATACGGGAACATAAATGAGCCACATGGTTAGGAGCACGGTCATTCTCATGAAAAATTTATGACTTGGGTCCTGAATACCTCGAGAACGATGCAAGGAGACCCACGACGGACTGATGATTTGGCTGCTAAAAACAAAAAATATAAGTCGAAGGTCGAATACTATTAAATCAAGATGACGTAAAACAACTAATCTTACATTTTTCCTAAAACGTAACTGTGATAGGCGGTTAAAGGTGGGTAATCAAGGCCCCAATAATTCATATCATTTTCAGTGCTGTTGATGTACCTGAAACTCTAACGTTATTCATCAATTAAAAAGCGATCCATAAGAACTTAATACAGTAGCGAAATGTTTCAAACCAATCAGTTACATTGTGAACATCTGGGAAAACTACCCTGTTATCAGAAGTCCAAATGCATGACGCGTAATTGAGATATTTACCAATTTTCAATGGGAAGATTGACCGTTATTTCCATCCAGTGTCGCTGTGCTTCAAAATCTCCAAACATTGGTGGTTTTCCGTAACCTAAAACTTATGTCGAACAAAATACGACATCGAAAACGAGAGTAAAAAAATTACTAAAAATTTTACTTGATAAAATCTACATCCTCGTCATACTTACCATATTTGGGTAAAGACTACAAGTTCATCAATCACTTCTACCTACCTGAATATGAGCCACATGACACTGCCAGTTGTACAGTTAAAGTGAAAAATATTATACTAAGAAGCCCATGGTACCCAGCAAATGCCTTTCGAAGATCAATTTCTACGGGATCATTTACTACGTCTTTCTTGGTCGAAATAGAGCGGATATAAGTCATTCCGATAACAACTGAAAAAGGGAAAAATAAGCTGTCCAACAGCGTTTCGAAAAAGGTTATGAACAATGACGGTTAAAAACCGAAGTAGGTCTCCGATAGAAGGAAGACCAAATATGGCATAATCAACAAAATAATTCCTAAACTAGCGTTCTTCAAACAAAAAAAAAACCAGGTCTTAAGAAGCAGAGATTGTCTTCAAACTACTAACAATGTACATACAGACACCTCCAAAAAACAAAAGTAAATGACACTAAATCAATTAGAAAATATCAAAAGAAGGAAGTTAGAAAAAGTTTTAATAAAGTTCTTCCCTTCTGTTGCTTAGCGCCAACTATTTGATTGAAAGCTTTTAAGGAAACTCTAGAGGCTTCGCTTTACTTCTTTCTTTTCGTTATTAACTCACTTTTTTTTTTTTTTGAAGTATTTTTGACGTTCTCAGCTTTCCTGGATCCACTTGAAACAACATCAGAAATTCTATGTAAACCTTTAATTTTCTGAAGTCTAACTTTGAGACATTTTTATCTTTTAGCACCCCTGCGTATCTCATCCTTTGTGACAGCACAATGTGTTCTGGCAACGAGTTTCATACTCCCCAGAAGTTCAGACCTCAAACTTCGAAGTTTGAAACTGCTACTTTTATTTCTACCATTTAAACGTTTATTTTCCATTTGTTCTTTTAAGCGGCGACAAGACAAACGGGGAAGATGACTTGCTGCACAAGTGTCCGTAATGCGTTGAAATTACCCGCATTATAGAAATATTTCTGTCCTAGCAGTAGATAAAAAGAAAATATAACAGTATAAAAATGGACCAGTGTAAAACGGTGTGGTCTACCAAGGGGAAGGTGCACAGACGCAAACGGATAAACAGAAACTGAAGCCAGACTCTTAAGAGCCAGAGAGATGTCTCCAACACAAAGTTTTCCAACCGTGTCCCGCAAATCAGAAAAGTTCAAGGACTTCATTAAAGCTCTCATTTCTGCTTATTAGAAAAAAAATTTCACCAAATCCTTCACTTAATCACCTCCCGCAGCCCTATAATGCTTTGAACAACGAACCAAAGAAATACCTATGACATAGATGCACATTAAAAAAAGTTTTTTTTATTCTAAACTTTACAAAATCAGAATACATTTCGCCCGACAACCACCGGTACCTTCAGTTTGGCTTGCTTCTTACCATATTTTACAATTTCATGGAACGTGTTCTTCAAGGTTACCAGTTTTTTTTTGCTCATTAGAAGAAACCCAGCGGTATTAATTGACGTCAAAATATACAGTGGTCTTTGAGCCTTGAATAATTACAACACTTTGGCACAACAAATAGATGCCTTAAGTAACCAACATTCTTTTACTTTAAAATGCAGGTACATTCTGTACCAAGTTAAGAAACTCCTTCTAGTGAATATCTAGACTTTTTTTAGAACCTACTAGTTGGTGGAGTATAGCTCTGGATTTAAAAAGCAAAGGGAGAGCCTGAAAAAATTAGCTACTTTCATTTTATAATTTATCAAACAATTCGCCATTTTCTTTGTTCCGTTACTTTGTGTCAGAGAATTTCTCAAACGTAATAAAAACAGTGAGAAATCAGCCCAGCCTCCAAACTTAACTGAACTACACTGGTACTTTCCACCATGACTTACTTCAGCAAGTATAACTCTCATAAATATCTCCCTTTATAATTTACTCACAGGCAAAAAGTCTATTACAGAAAGTGTCTTTTTTTTTTCAATAAGAAGTGCGGTTCTTCCTTTACATTTTCATGAACTATTTGTTCTCCAGTGAACTATTTGTTCTCCAGTAAATTGAATTTCCAAACTCATTGTTCCAAAAAATAATGAAGTTCCAAATGTCGACATGGTAGAGATAAATAAAGAATCTATTTACCCGATTCCTCTTCACAGCCTTCTAAATCCAGCAGTGGACTTTAGGGATCTGAAAAAGTTGAAGAACTTTGAGGTCTTAGTTGAAAAAAGTTCATGATTTCACTTATGACGATCTTATACGCAGAGTTACAAGAATGTCAACAAAGCTGAAGCAACAAAATGTCATTTAAAAAGAAACAGTAAGACATCAACACACTAATGTCATGCAAGCAACTAGGTATCCTGAAGCATACACGCGTACACCATTTATATATAAATGAGGTAATTTAGAAGCTTGATGGGAATTTGCCAACAGAAGAATTTTCGCTGTGGTTTGCCGGGCCGATAGATAGTTGGCTATGACTGCTATATGGTAAAAGAAAATTTGGTTATGGCGGGAACCCGGTCGTCAAAATGCGCTGATTGCAAAGGGTACTGAGCTGCGCCAGGTAGTAGTGTTGTATATATCTCTGGTAGCCTGATCAGTGGTGGGCTTTGCGTTCCTAGGTGATTGTTTTTTGCCCATTTCTAGTTACTTCTTCGTTCTGGTGACCTTTTAGGGCATTTTTTCTCCGTGTGCAGATTAGGTTGACGATTTCAAAAGTTGCGTTCGGGTAGAGTGAAGTTTCGCTTTCGCTTTAAGATGTCGTTTTTTTTTTTTTGTTTTTTTTCTTGTCGATTACGTTACAACAGCAAGTGCTTTTGCTGAAAATTGTTTTTTCCTCTGTTTTTTTTTTTCCAATAAGTTATTACGTTCAGTCATTGTGTCTGTGTGTTTGTGTTTGTGTGTGTGTGTGTGTGTGTGTGTGTGTTTAAATCTATGTTTTGTACTGAAGGGTAGTCGTCGAGATTAAAATCTCTTCAGTTAATTCATTGAAGACCGTCTGTTTTAAAGAGTTTAAAATTTTAGATTATGGCTTTCTTCATCACCAAGACTGTGCGTTGTGTGATATTAGCCATCTTATTGTACAGTGGAACACAGTATTTCTTACGTTGGAAGTCTTACACATTTTCCCCAAAAGTCTTTCGCGAGAAATCAATTGCTGCTGCACAACGTAAGGATTTTATTTAAACTCCTTTTAAATAGAGGTATCCATTTTTTATTTATGAATCTGTATTATTACTCTCATTATCGCCACACTGCCACCGTCCTCACTTCGTTCTTTTACTGAGGTACTGGTAATAATAGTGATAACAAGAACAATAAGAGTAATAATGATACTACCACCATTATTATTAATACTAATACTAACATTAATATCAATAATAACTAGAATAGGGTCAATGCCTCTTTTTCAAGGAAAATTTGTTAATTGTTCGAAAGACCAGATTTTACCCTGTGTAGCTCTCTTCTTTTTACAATCTTCATAACAGTTTTCTTTGATCGGTTTCCTTACCAAAAGCAATATGCTGCATCTTAGAAATTGTAAAACGTTACTAGCAACGGCGGCTTACAGGAACGGTCACTCTCACTTAGTTTAAATTCAGAAAACTACGTTGGTCAAAATGACATTTGCTGCCATTTTGACGTCGAGTAATTTCAAGCTGGTTTCTTCGCTTAATTTTTATTATAATAGTTTAATTACTATAGGTATTAAGAAGTATTGGGAACCAACTAATTTTTTTTTTAATTTTTAAGCAGCTAATGGCTTGTCAAATGTCAATAAACTGCGAAATGACCTAAGCAGGGAATATCGTGATCATATATTAGATCCTACGTGGGAAGCAGTTTATGGAGGTGGACTCTTGCTTCGTGCAAATTTCTTGCATGCTTCTTTAACAGAATTTATAGTTGCATTCCATGCAGCGCATCGAACACAGGGTTTCTCAGGTACGATATTTGTTATCAGTTTCTACCTGACAGTGGCGAGTTTTGGCCGTTTAAAGCGCAGTCCGTACGGACAATTTCATAAGAGCTAGAGTTTTTTTACATTGAGTAGAAATATGATATATCGTGAGGTACTGTCAAACCTTGAAGCCAGTTGTTTAAGATGCTTAAAAAATGCAATTTCTGTAAAGAAGATTTTGAGGAACAGGGCTGCGAAAGTCCTTCTTGAAGCTGTTGAGGTGAAGAGCCAATTATGTTCGTTCTTCTATTGGCTGCTTTTAAGGTTTCCACTGGATTAATTCGACATGTACAGTTTTGAATGGCGCAGTTTCCAGAACTCTACACAGCCTTCATGGTGGTAACAAAGAAACCTTCAAACCAGGTGAGTTTAATGTTTTAATGAACGATAATATTTGCAAACAGGTTGTTAAATATTTGTAGTACAGTTCTAAGTATTATATAGGTAATAATTTCCGGCACGGAGAATTCCAACGATACTTTTATGAATTCTCAGACGATACATACATGGTTTGTTACGGAAGAGGAGCTGTTCCATTAAGTTCTTTGTGGTTGGCCACGGGATCTATTTCTGCAGCTGACCCTCTTTCGCTGGTCCGAATATTTTACATTTACGGTCACGGTTCCATTCACGAAATAGGATTCTCATTGAAAAAAACATTCAACTATTACAAGTCTAGGGTAGTGAAGTCAGAACTTTAGCCGAAATCTTTAATTTTTTCTTCTGCTTCCCTTTTGAGGTACGGTTGCTGCATATTCAAGCTTCATTTTGCCTGATTTTCATGCATTAATTGTTGTGATTTATGTTGTAATAACTTGCACTAATGTTTTGCCATGCTCCCTTGTTGTTAGAACTCCAATTCTCATTTGATGTTATGTCAGTAAATGGTACAAAAAAATTTGCGCCCGCCTTTCCAGACCTATTACTTTCTGTTTCCATTTTCGACACTGCGTCACATCCAAGTGTCTCCTCTAATATGGTATTGTTGTCAGCTATTGCCAAGGCAACAAGAGAACAAAAACTGTTCATCATGACTGTTGAAATTATGACAAGCGTTTGAGGAAGGAACATAGACTTCGTTTTTGCGCTATGCCTGACTGGGACGAAGGTTTATTGACAGTCCTTCGCTGCCGTTTACGTGACAAAGCCAGGTCTCTTTCAATCCTCTTAAAGTGTTTCCTGAAAGTTAGTGGTACTGGATTTCCCAGTCAAATGTCATCATCGGTGAAATAAGGACCGGGAAACGGTTGCAATGCACGGCGTCCACCAGCCTTCCCTGTCGTTCTGCTTTTTTTTTTGTCAAATACTGCTTAGTGAGTACGAGGGTGACGTGAAGTTTTTTTAGTAGCGGGTGAAGTCCAACGCAAGGAAATACAATTAAACGAAGTAATTTGTTTTGCAAAGCTTTGCAGGGACAACCCGACCTCTCCGAGACAGCATCCAGAAATATAGGTTTCTAAAATGTCGATATCGTTGACTATGTGACTCACTGCGAAGTCCCTCCACATTTTTCCCAATATTTAGCAGAACTGAAAGGCTTTTACACAACAGTTCGCCGAATCGACGACAAAGCATGTATTTTTCCAATTGGTAATCGCCACACAAATGCCACATGGATGGCGCAGTTTCGACCCGTAGCTGTCAATAGTGAATAAAAGAGGCCCCTGAATAAAAAGGTGATTAGATAATTCCAGGTATTACAAATTAATTTTTTTTAAAAATAAAACCTAAGGACTATGCAGTGAACATTTGAAGACGCAAAAGCGTGGAGATGTACAAACAATAATAAAAGTCTAAGAATAACCTTGTACTGACAAACGGCCAAGTGAGCTCGATTTTTTTTCACATCAATAACTGCAACTAAAACAGTACCAGTGCTCGGGCAAACAGCGCATGCAGCCGCCATCATACAGGCTCTGGAACTTGGTTCACCTAAGTGTATCTCACGCAAGAACTCTCCTGAAGATTTCAAAATAGTAATATAATGGCAAAAATATCAATGATTCTTCCACACCTGAGCACTTTTCCTAAAAAATTAGGGGTTGAAAGCTGTAAGAACCTCTGCCATCAAATAATAGTAGCGATGAACAAGTCCCGACAATTATTTCGTCGTTCATGCCTATAGAAACGCAAGTAATAGAAGAATTTGATGCGTAGAGCTCAGTACTAAAGCTGAACAACGGCCGGAATGCTGTATCGAAAACGAAAACCTGAGAAAAAACAAAGCTTAAAGAAAATTTAATGTTTACATAATGAAGTGAATCGAGGAGAAGGTAGAAAACAACGTTACTTTGCTATTCGCTGCGTCTGCAATCAATATCCTTCCATGGCTGTCAACGCATAAGTCAACTGGCTCTCCAAATTCAGAAAACGTCATAGTCTAAAAAAAAGTCATTCAACGAGTTCTGAAATGAAAAGAGGGATAGATTCCAAAGGTGCACCTCTACCTGCAATGGAGTGCCACGAAAGTCAGATTTGACAACTTCTTTCGTTCTCCAATTAAGAGTCAAGATCTCTCCCGTTGGTAACGTGGCTAATCCTACGGTACTTCCTTCGCTAAGTGCTGCGCCTGTGACATCTTTAACATAGTCACCGCAAACATCCAAAACTTTAACTAAAATGAAGTTTAAAAATATAATTTATACAACTGTGGCTTAGCGATACTCACGCACTGAAGCAACTGTGAGTATTTCAAGCAGAAAACCATCAAACTTTTTATCTCAAGAGAAACAAAAAAACAGCGTTTTGAAAAACGAATTTCCAGTGAAAGTTAAAGTACATTGTAAGCTACCTAACATTTGTGATGAAGTTAAAAATGAACTGTGGAAGAGGTAATTCTAGTGAGGGAAAGAAAAATGATAAGAAATAAGTGACATGGTTCTCACTAGGCAACCACGGTAGTCCCCTTACAATGCAAATTTGAAGCTCTTCCAGTCTGGTAACCCCATTTTATTTCCAGCCAATCAAGCCAGTGGACTCTGGTTGTGATAAAAGTGGTTGTGTCTTATTACAACCAATAAGAGAAATGAGAGTACCAAACTGAAACAGAGCCACAAATTATAACTAAATAAACGACCCATAATCTTATGAAAATTGAAAAAAAACGCTTTATCTGATGTGACTCACGCTAAAAACCTGATGTATTACACAGCTGAGCCATTTATTGACTACAGGAGTTCACGTGAGATTACTATTAAATAAAAGTACCTGTTTCCTATGTTTTTGAACTCTTATGAAAACTCTTACTCTTAACATAAAAAAAGAAAAGTATCCATGCTTTTTAGACAAGAGGCCTTGTAACTTACTTCTATTATTACCAGTATCAAGGATGTAAAAATTTCCCTTCTCATCCTGACATATCTTGGTTGGCTGATTAAGTTGCAATTTTCCAACGCCAGGCGAACCAAACTGCCAGATGGGATTGTGGTGGTTGCTAACAAAAACAAGGAAAGGGCTATTCTTTACTGGCCTGTCAAAAATCTCTGCACATACTAAATAGTCACCAGGTATACATGTCCTGAAAACTTTTTAAATTTATAATTAAACAGTAGTTTTCTAAGTGCAAATAAATAAAGCATGGTACAGTCTTTCGATTAAATTCCTTACTTGAAAGAAATCCTGTAAGTTCCATCATCTTGATCTTCTACGATAGTTTCATATTCATCTGTTTTCGCTAAGGAATTTTTCTTTAAAGTTACTTTAATGGTGATAGGATCGCCTCCGCTGTTCCTTCTCCTCCCGTCAGCAGAATAAGTATTAAGAACCAAATAAGTTCTAATGTGAGAACTTGAAGGGCCAGTCAATTCAAGGGTGCATAAACCAGGGAAGGTAGAAGAACCCGAAATAGTTCCAAATTCATTCAGAAGTTTTTTAAATTCTGAAAAGAAGGCTGCATAAATAAGTACTAAAAACTACACCAACATCATTTTAATTGTGGAAATTCTCCTTTCCTAGTCCCTAAACTTAAAGCGCAGAGATACAACATATAATAAAAAGTTAACGAGATATTTAAAACAGTTTAAAAATGTCTTCAAGAAATCGACAATGTGTTAAAATGACCAAGATCTTTTTAAAAGAGGAACAAGCTTCAACAAACCGTGAACAAGTTTCTTTGGTTCTGTATGGAGTTTCAAAAAAGCATTTTCTTTTGGTTCCATCAATGAAACAGCCTGCTCGGTAGCTTCAGTTACCTTCTTAGTTCGGTAACTCATTTCGCGAACATCAAATTGAGAGGTTTCTAGCTCTCTTTCCAACCTGAAATATTCAAAATTAAACCATGAAAATCAAGTGTGAGGACGCTAGAATAACAATGTACGGCAAGCCTACCTCTTACGATGACTATCAATAAGTTCCAATTGGTCAAGCAATACTTTTCGTTTCTCATCTCGCAAGACACGTGCGCTATCCACTAACTCTCTTCGGCGGTTTTCTACAGTCTGACATACTTCCTGAAAAAAACTATATTCCAAAAAACTGTGAAGCATGAAAAGAAAGTTTCAAAAATTGAAAGAAATTACTTGAAACAAGTTATTCAATTCTTCCACTATCCGATCAACGTTTTTGTCCAACTGATCTATCTCCAAATTAACATTTTTGGAGGCCTTATCGAGATTTGCGACACACTGCCTTGTCTTATGAACAACAATTTCAGAAATCCTTTTGAGAGCTACCGAAAACGGTACCACGTTATGTTCGGCACAAGAACTTCTAAAACCAATGTTTTTAAAAGTAAAATAACACCAGTACACATAGCTCACGCGTACTTCTATATTTATTCTTCGGGATAGATTTTGAATGCGACAAACAGATCTTTTTACAAAATATTTGAAAAACACGATCTGCTTCAAAACCCACCGCCTCTAGTGCATTCTCATAAAACTATCTTGAAACTGTTTTACTTCTAGGTCATCCAAAAAGAACAAATTTGATAAGAGTGTGCAATCATATAATTTTTATCTTTTTTTTCACATCGCCCTGAGAGGTAAATTCCATTTCTATAATCTACTTCGTGAAACAGTATACAAATCAAAATTCGCGCCCAACACAGAGAATAAATTCCATGAAAGCTGTGCCATCACCTTCAGCTAATTCATAAGCTCTAAATAACTTTCGCAGGTGTTAACGCGCAGCATTCATAGAAATCATCTTGAATGTCTGCTTTACATAATATTTCTTTCCCACTTTGCACTAAAAAGAAAGTTACTGTCTCTAAACAACAGCCCAACTTTCTTTCAATTTTCTAAAGAATATGTTCGAGGATAGAGACCACTTAGTTTCAGAACTGAAATAAACATAATGGAAATTGGAAGCTAGATAGTCACTAATAATTCAAAACATTTCAAATATTTAAAATGGTACTTCAGCAAAAAATTGAAACAAAAATTATATCTTCAGAGTGAAACTCACATCAATGAAGCCCTACATGTCGTACAAAAAACCAAATCACAGGCTTCACAGTACATCAGCTGCTGATGCGGATGAGCTGAACAGTTAGGAACAACATCTTTGCGTTGTTTTCGCATTAAGTCGAAAAGCTGATTAATCAGGAATGAATTAGGTAACGCAGAAACACCACTAGCAGGTAGGGTAGTTATTTCCCGGCACAACGGGCATCGTATAACGTTCGTCTCCTCCTTCTAAAAACGAATGCGTAAAAGCTAATTATTTACAGGGTCAAATTTCTCCAATGCAACGAAGAACAAGCAAAAGCATTCAAAAGTTTGGACCCAAATATTTGCTTTTCATTCTTTTGTAACTGCAAAAATCAAAGAATCTTCCACGTCAGAAACATAAACATGATTTTTAGACGTAAAAAATTTCATCCTTCACCTTTTCTTTTTTAAAAAATCTTTTCCCAAGCAGATACTGTAACTTTCTGACCTCTTTAAAAAAAATATTAACGTGCTTTATAGTGGTAAATAAGAAAACCTGAGATATTTGCTCCATTTGAGTAAGGCACCGCAAACAAACAGTGTGCGAGCATGGCAGAAGTTTTGCTTTCCTTTTATCCTAAAAATGCCTAACTACATAAAAAAACATGAAGCTAACTTTAACTTACAGTTTGAAAATGTGGTCAAAAGCAATTCCTAATTTTAAGCTATCAACTAGAGTCAGGGAAAAATCGTCAGGTGAATCCAATTTTCGTCAGTTTCTGATGGGGAAATTCATTTGAACAACTGCAATTTTACGTAATAAAATCAATTCACAGGTCCATGTTCAAAATATTGGAAAAGAAAAGGTCGTTTGTAAAAATCATTAAAAACTTTCAACTGTTTTGTTTATACTCGCATTACCCCGTCGACTTCCTACAAAAAAAGGTTAGTAAAGACAAATATTAAATCCCTATACTAGTAGAGGTGGCAAAAGCATATAAATAGTTTTGAAAAAAAAATACGAAAGTTTCTCTATTCCCCAAAAAATACACTACATAATACCCAAAAAGTAAGACAAATGAATCAATTCATGTGTTCACTGTCTTGCGTTATCTTATTACTCCGTATCAGTACATCAAAAGGCAAATATTAGATAAAATGCTAGAGTCTCAGCAACAATAAAGTGCTGATACGTTTACCTTTCTTTTACGCAGAACTTCGTTAATATTTACAACGGTTTCCTCGCGTACTAGACTAATTACAAGTACTATAAAGAATTAACAAATAACGACATGGAATCTTGCAAAAAGCGTTCGGGCTTCTTATTCATCTTCTCCGCTAGTGTAACATATGTTGACAGAAAAAACCAACCTGATCATAAGTACAGAGACAGGTAGCACAAGTTAGGAATGATTCAGAGAAGTCTTCCAGATTAATGTTAACAGTTTCTACAAACGTTGTCCCCATAAAATCGACATTCCCGAAAATGGAATATTAACAACCTTTCCGCACCGATTGGCAAAAACTCCTAAGAAAAGGTGTGCGGATAACAAAAGGTATTCAAAAAGTCAAAAATAACTGCAAAAAGTTTTAAAAAAGGAACAAAACAGTGTCAAACACATCAAATAATTAAAATGAAAAGAAAAAATTCTACCGTCGCGAGCAAGTGGAGTAAGAAATTTGAAAGTGAAAAAAACAAAAAACATCTCTACAGGTCATAAAAGACGTTACAACGAATTTTATTCCTTCCATTCTACAACTAAAATTAGCAGTAAATTACACTAAGTAGAAGAAAATTATGGACCAAAGCTAGCTTACTCTACAGCATAATACGGCCTTTTCACAGAAAAAGCAGCTTTCTATTTTAGTTAGCTAATTCAATGTATCTGTTGTCTATCACAAACAGTCCTGCCCAAGTATCAAGCTAAACTGTTGTGAACTAAAAAATAAAAGGAATAAAGCCGCATCCTGCCTTACCACCTCCTCAACCACAATTCTCTTAGAAAACCAGGAAAATAAAACAACTAAAATAAAAACACTACCACAACCTAAAAATGAAACTGCTTCACAATAACCAACCAAAACGTTACAAATGACTAAGTCTTTGCTTAACAGCCCGAAAAAAA